GTAGGGTCAGGAAACGTATAAATGTATAAACTTTCCAAGCATGATTTCCCCCCTGTGTTTTCGCCAGTGCGCTCGCGGCTAACTACTCTCCACTTCACACACTCTTGCGGGTGGGCAATTACCTATATTAAACATTCATATGCATATGTCCGTGTAGAGAGTTTTATTGCGATTCCAATGATACCAAAATTAGCGATGTAGGACAACTGTAGGTTTCGCAACCATTAAGAGAGTGGAAACATGTTGCTGTTTGGCACTCTCGGCGAGTGATCTGCATAGTTTATTTGGTGTTGATACTCCTTATGCTTGGGCGGCATTTTATAGGTATGCTCTTATAGACAATTTCATTGCAAACACAGTGATACCAAATTTAAATACTGTACGTGCGCCTTCAATTATTGTCAGGACAGTCAAAAGAGTGTACACTTTTTCGGTCTTACCGCGTAGGCGCACGAAGTGCCGAAAGCATCTGGGGTATTGATTTTTTTTGAGCGCCGAGAGCGCGAAAGTGTTAATAAACAAAACATGGACAAAATTAGAAACATAACTATTAGCTATACATGAAATTAAGGGATTCAAATTATTTCATGTGGATGATGGATTAGACAAGGAGAGGGAGTAGCAATGTGCCTTGGGAAAAATTTTAAGTAGTGTCATCAAAGAGGGTATCAAAGAGAGCCATATACATAATCTATATGGTTTGGATTGAATTAAAATACTGTACTACTAATCTAATAATCGGAGTTATATACAGGCTATCAAAATTCATCAGAATGCAAGCAAAGAATATATGGGATGAAATATCAAGGACATGTAGGTCAACCAGTTTGTGTTATTGACTTTAAATTTTAATTAAATAAACTTTACTACCAAAATGGGGAACACCATAATAGAAGATTAGGAAACTATTTTAGGCCTTGTGTTAACTAATGGACATAAATAAAGGGAATAGAGCTCACAAGGCAATTTGATTTAATGTAGAATTGAATGCATGTGCAAGAAATTTCAGTTAAGATGCCGACTGCCAAAGTATTAAGATGCCAGATTTCCAAAAATCAGATTTTAAAGGATTAAGAGTTTCTTGGTTAAGACATTAAACAGATCTAAACATAAGAGGTGGACAGTCTTGAGAAGTAAACGGGGAGGAGGGGGGGTGTTGATAAAGAATTATGATGTCATTAAATCATTTAAAAAAAAAATATTGGTAAAGCTCAGGAGCATAGTGTACCTAACAAATTTACTTAATAAAAGAACAGTGATCCCCAAATGGATAACTATAGGTCTAAAGAACCTTACATGCAAGAAGAAGGAGTTTATACAAAAGGATTAAGAATGGGGTTACTCAATTAAGATTAAAAATTTATCAAAATAGTTAGAAATGATAAAAAGAAAAAAAGGAAAATAGCTCTGAAGAACATACAGCAGGACATCAAAATCCTGAAGGATTTTTTCAGTTTTATCAAATAGGAAAAAAAGACTGGGTCATTAACACAGCTCAAATAACTGATTATATTGATAGTAGTAGTAGTTTAAATATGTGGTCTACTAGAGAACTTAACATTCTGCCTTCAGCTGAACAAATCAATATTGATGGTGACGAGGACAAGTGGACTAGTTTAGTGATTAGCAGGGAGAAGTTTTTAAACAAAGAAAAAATATGCCAAATTAGCCCCTGGGGCCTTGCTAGATTGCCTAAAGAATGTTTTGCACATTTAATCATTAGTCAAGCAGAGTACCAGAATTGCGGAGGGTCGCTAATGTACCAATTTTAAAAAGGGAAGATGGATAACTTGCATCGAACAATTTGTTAATTTATACTGTGGAAACATTGCTCGAATCGATACTCCCAAAAACCATTCATCCTGAAAAACAGATTAAGACCGATTCATAACATGATCATACTTACTGATGAATTATTTAATTAACTTTGACAAACTTAATTCCATTCTATTCCAACATATTTGAGGCAGTTGAGTTAAAATGATTGTGACTGTACCTCAACTTTAGCAAAGCTTTTGATACTGTGCCTCATGAAAGACTGATTAGAAAGGTAGAGGTCCATGGTATTGGGGTGCTATTTCAAATTAGATGAAAGCTAATTTGTATATACCATGTCTATTGGTCCATATGAGGCAGCTACTATTTATATCCACCCAATCCCAATTATATACATGTTTAACCTATGCTTGAAACAATCAAGGGATCCTATTTCTATTATGTTATGCAGTAATTGGTTCCACAAAACAACCCTGTTACCGAACCAGTATTTACCCAAGTCTTTCCTCAATCTAAAATTATCCAATTTATAACAATTGTTTCGTGTTGATACTTTTAATACCCTATCAATATCCCCTTTGCTATACCCATCCATCCACTTGTACAATTTTCATGTCACCCCTAAGTCTTTGCCTTTCTAAAGAACTCCAAATAAAGAAGAGACATCTCCAAATTTGGACTTGCAGGGCGCACATGGCTAAGCCCGTCGCTGCCCTTCATTCCAAAAATAAGGGCATAGTTATAGCCAAGAAACAATGTTTGAATATACATAATTATGTCAGTGGGAAACCACTAAGTTGAGTGCCCCAAGGCTGTCCTGGGACCTCTGTTGCTCATATGTATAAACCATTTAGTCAGGATTGGGTGGGAATCCAGACTCAAAGTCAAAATTACTTTAAAACAATTTAGATAAGCTTTTGAAATAGCCAAACGTGTCAGATGTGATTTAATACCGATAAATGTAGGGTTCTGAAAGTAGGTAATGATGTTGGATACTAAATATCAGCTGCATATAGTACTGTTGAAAATGTGAAGTCTTTATTGCAGAAAACATGAGGGAGGGGGGATGGGGGGGGCAGAAATGAGGGAACAGACAGGATTAGTAAGAATTTAAGGGCAAAAAATAAATGCACAAATGTTTGTTAAGAGGGCAAATAGGAGAGACAGGATAACAGTCCTGATAGGGCTCATTTAGATTATGCAATTTATTTTTGGTCATCATACTAAAAAATGGACAAAATGCACTCGGTAAAGGATGACAAAGTTAATCCATGGAATTGGAAACCTTCCATTTTAAGACACTGATGAAGCTTAGGCGGCAAATAGATAGAAGTGACATAACTAAAGTAGACATTAGTGTATTAAATGCATCAACACAAAATAGATCACAAATCGAATACAATTTAGATGTGTAGATTTATGAATGACCTGAGTAAATACAGGATAGGAGACAGGTTTGTCGATTTGTGTTAGTGATCCAGCGTAACACAAACGCCACAGTCCCAGTGGCGTGGTGGTAAAGCACTCGCCCGGCACTTCACAAGCACTTGGCCTGGGTCATGTCTTGGCCGGGGAGGATTGACTGGGCGCCAATCCTTAACTGTAGCCTCTGTTCACCCAGTAGTCAACGGGTACCCGATTGTTAAACAATTTGGCAAGTCATTCTGGGGAAAATTAAGACAAAGGAGTTGCCCGAAATGCTGTATGCGCTAGTGGCTGTACAGTACAAGAATGTAAGAAGTCTTGTATATATGAATAAAATAAAACAGACGGGATCAATTTATTGTTTCATAGGTAGGTTAGACATGCAGGATATAAATTATGAATGAGATAGGTTGCTATAAATAGGCAGATTGCTGTCAATATGTCTTCTGCAAATACCTTAATTTTTATGTAATATTGTGGAGTACTGTAAGAAAGTGGTCATTGCCATACATTGACCCATAGGGTAATGCAATTTTTATACTTATACTTTAATTTTAGTAATCAATTTTTATACAAAATTATGAAATTGTATTGAAATAGATTGAAATGAATGCATTTACAGATACTGTATAGTGTATGTACATGCATGGGGAGTGTAACAGACATGCTTGCCCAACACACACACACACATTTTATTGAGTTCACAACTAAAGTACTTTGGAATTCCTAAAAGGTATAACGTCTAGGATATTATTGTATTGAACTATCAGGGGAAAGCGCCAAGCCATAACGACTATACAACACTGGGAATGGGTCAGAATAAGGATTTGGAATGGGACGGGAGGGAAGAAATGGTGCCCAACCACATGTGGACGGTCGGAGATTGAACGCCGACCTGCATGAAGCGAGATCATCGCTCTACCGTCTAGGATATAGCTTGGCTTCCTTTTAAAATGTCAAAATTATAAGCTATTCGACACACACAAGCAATTTCCACTTTCAAACCTAACTCCATGCTATGATATATACATTAAAATGTAAAGCATGTTGTAATATGATTACTGTAAAAATGTTGAAAATTGTATATTTTATTAGTTTTATAGAGTGCAATGGAGGAGGAGGAGTTTAGGGAAGGGAAGTATAAGGAGAAAGTGCCAAACTATTAAGACAATATAGCCCTGGGAAGGGATCAGGATAAGGATTTGGGATGGGACAAGGGGGGAAAGTAGTGATGGAAGGGAAAGATGGGACAGGGAAGGGGGGGGGAAGCAATAATGGGACGGGAGGTGGGAAAGGAATGGTATAACGCGTGTGGTGTAGCAGGCAGAGGCTGGCCAGGCCCCACCAACCCAACTCCCCACCACCACCACCATGCTGCTCCCCCACACACAGCCCGCCATCAGAGAGCGCCCCCGGGCGTGCCCTGGCCGCCATGCCCACCCGGGTGCCAGCCTGGTGTCAGCCGCCACAACACTCATTTGTTGTCATCCCGGGCCAAACATGGCCGCCAGACCTGCCTCCTCCGACCCCCCCACCATTCCCACTTAAAATCCCTCTCCTGCCTCGACCCCACACCTATTACCACCCGTCCATTACCCCTTAAACCCGCCGCAACTAGCAGCTAGCGAGCCACGCCGCCACCATTACCCACAAGCCAGAGAAAGCAAAAATAATCAGCTTGAAAATCGTTTAATTGCACCACTAGCAGGAGTGGTGGCGGGAACCACCTCCGCCGCCACTATTTCCCTCATCTCTCCCTCCCCAGGCGGGCTTGCTCGCCCTAATAACTCTACACTCACCAGGAGATGTGGTCTTCTCGAGGATTTGTATGACCTGTTCCATAATCTCGGGGAGGGTGTTTAAGCGAGAGGAGCGACGTTAAGAGAGGAGCGGAGCGGCCTGGCCCACACACACACCGGTAGGTCTACCACATGTGCGGCGGACCAATACACTCTCGCCCTCATCAATCACCACTAATATAACCTCATTTCTTCTAACTCATTTTAACCTAACTCTTATTTTTTTTACGTATAATTCCACGCGGGAATTGCTGCTTATGGGTCAATTAAAGGGTGTGTTTTCTTTAATGGTGAGCGTGAAACATAGGTACTACTTTTCTCTAAGTTACCGCGCAAATACAACAGATGGGTCAGAGGAGGAATTCAAATATGCCCAAAGCAATTTCAAGTGTTTCTGTATACTCTAATGTACTCATACAATTATGCATATACAAAATATACATATATACTACGAGGAGAGTAGAAATAGCCTAAAGCTAATTCATCCTTTTGGGATGTTCTCCATTATCTTTTATTTATTTATTTATTTATTTGAATATTTATTTATTTATTTATATACAAGAAGGTACATTGGGTTTATGAGAGTACATAGCATTAATATTAGTTTTTACAATCTTGTAAAGCTACTAACATCCATAGTGTTTCCAGCACAAACATATAACCAAACCTATTTGAACGTCTACATATATACACACATAATAATAATAATAATAATTATAATAATTTTTATTTAGGTAAAGGTACATACATAAAGAGATTTTACAAAGTTTGTTGGCTTTATAGGTAGAGCTAGTACATACAATGCCTAAAGCCACTATTACGCAAAGCGTTTCGGGCGTTTCGGCGTTCCGGTATGTACATATACTACAATACAATACAATACAATACAATACAATACAATACAATTTTATTTAGGTAAGGTACATACATACAATAAATATTTACAAGGATTGTTTAACTTATAGGTATAGCTAGTACATACAATGCCTAAAGCCACTATTACGCAAAGCGTTTCGGGCATGATAAACTTAAATGACAAGCTTAATACTAATTGAGCATAATGAGTAGAATGAAAACAAGAAATGAAAACATAGATGAAAAAGCAGCACAAATACAATTATGTCGACAAACAGCGCTCTTTAAAGAAAAAAAACAGACATTGGTTGACAATAGAAGGGTAAGGTAGGTTACAGGGAATTTATTAGGTATAGCTTCACTTTTAACTTAAACTGGTTGAGAGAGGTACAGTCTTTAACATGGTTGGGAAGGTCATTCCACATTCTGGGCCCCTTGATTTGTAGAGCATTTCTAGTTTGATTAAGTCGTACTCTAGGAATATCAAAACTGTATTTATTTCTGGTGTGATGCTCATGGGTTCTGATACAACCTTCTATGAAGCTTTTGAGATCAGTATTGGCATTATAGTTTAGCGTTTTATATATGTATAATACACATGAGAGAATGTGCAGTGACTTAATGTCTAACATATTCAGAGATTTAAGTAGGGGTACCGAGTGATGTCTGGGGCCAGAATTGGATATTGTCCTAATAGCAGCTTTGTGTTGAGTAATTAGAGGACGTAAGTGATTTTGGGTAGTAGAGCCCCAAGCACAAATACCATAGTTGAGATATGGATAGATAAGGGAGTAATAGGGAGTCACCAGGGCAGGGCGTGGTACATAATATCTGATCTTAGAAAGAATGCCCACAGTTTTTGAAACTTTTTTTGATATGTTTAGAATGTGTCCCTGGAAATTAAGCTTGTGGTCAATGAGAATGCCAAGGAATTTGCCATCTAATTTGTTACAAATTTGGGTATTGTTTATTTTGAGATTTATTTGATTAGAGGATTTATTGCCAAACAGAATATAAAAGGTTTTGTCAATGTTAAGGGTGAGTTTGTTGGCAGTTAGCCACAGATGGACTTTATTTAGCTCAGTATTTACTGTGGCATTTAGAGCAAGGGGATCAGGACTGGAGTAAATGAAGGTTGTGTCGTCAGCAAATAGAATTGGTTTGAGGTGTTGGGAGGCATTTGGAAGGTCATTAATGTAGATGAGAAAGAGGAGAGGGCCAAGTATGCTGCCCTGGGGAACACCAATGTTGATGGGTAGGGTGGGAGAAATTGTATTATTCACAGAAACATATTGGAGCCTGTCAGTAAGGTAGGATTTGAGGTATTGTAGGGAGTGTCCTCTGACTCCATAATGATGTAATTTAAGAAGAAGGTTTTGGTGGTTGACAGTGTCAAAAGCTTTACGCAGGTCCACAAACAACCCAACAGAGAACTCATTTTTATCAAGAGCTGTATGAATCGAGTTAAGCATACTAATAAGTGCATCGTTAGTGCTTTTTTTGGGTCTGAAGCCATATTGGCAAGGGCTAAGTATATTGAGTTTGGCTAGATATGAGTAAAGCTGCTTATAGATTAGTTTTTCAAAAAATTTTGACAAGTTTGGCAGGATAGATATAGGTCTGTAGTTGTTAACATCTGTGAGATTACCACATTTGTGGACAGGCGTTACTCTCGCTTTTTTTAGAATATCTGGGAAGGTTTGGAGTTCAAGTGACTTGTTGAAGAGCAAAGCAATAGCAGGGGCTAAAGATCTGGAGGCTTTTTTGTAAATTAAAGTTGGTATCTCCTCAAGGGCACCAGACTTGGTTTTAAGGGAAAGGATTATCTCATTGACGTCAGTGGAATTAATAGGTTTTAGGTACAGAGACTGTGGATAGTTACCTGAAAGATAGTCATTAATGTCTGTACTGGAAGATGGAATATCATTTGCAAGGGATGAACCAATGGAAGAGAAGAACCTATTGAACTCAGTAGCAGAATCAGAGGCTGAAAGCTGACCATCGTTATTAGACAGGAGAGTCGGTTTGTTATTTAAAGACTTCTTTGATCCCAATATTTGAGAAATTGTTCTCCAAGTTTGTTTAATGTTGCTCTTTATTTGGGTAAATTTATCTTCGTAGTATTTAGTTTTGGCTCGTCTAATTATCTTAGACAGCAATAATGAGTAATTCTTCTACAGTACAGTAATTCTACTGTACATACCTAGATGTGTATATATATATATATATATATATATATATATATATATATATATATATATATATATATATATATATATATATATATATATATATATATATATATGTTATATATAGGTTTACCCTCACGATGACTGCACATGAATGCATGTATGGGCATTGGTGGCTGATTAGACAGCACGCAGGATACGTAGTCCTGTAGTCCAGGATTCGATTCCCGGCACCGGCGGAAACAGATGGTCAGAGTTTCTTTCACCCTAATGTCCCCTGTTTACCCTAGCAGTAAATAGGGCTGCTTCCTGTGGGTGGGGGGAGGAATTAGGTAGTTAGTAACAGTTGATTGATTGACAGTTGAGAGGCGGGCTGAAAGAGCAGAGCTCAACCCCCTCAAGCTCCCGTGAATACATTGCATTATACATGTTTTTTTTAGTTTGCTAACTGTAGGTAGGAACTAAGTGATTGTAACCTATCCACCGCTGCCCACTGGATGGGGGGGGGGCGGTGTGTAGGACAAACATATCAATTGTGACACTAGCTCTCTACATATGTCAGTTGCTTAATTTAGAAACTGTACTTGTGGTCGATCTCGAACCCATTGTTGATGTGACGACTTATACTGAATTTTGTAACTAGCTCATCAAGATTGTAACTTGCTTAGCTAAATGAATTGTGGGGTTCAGTCCCTGAGCCCATTATGTGCCTCTGTAACCCTTTCCACTACCGCCCACAAAATGGGTATTGGGTGCATAATAAATGACCTAAACTAAAAAAAACTTTTGGTAGCAGTCTTTCTTGTAAACATATGTTGTTGAATATGACCGCAAGGGTAAGATTAATAATTCTAACACGAATCTTCTCAATATTTTTTATGTTTTTCTTCACTGTCGAGGGGAGTTGAAAAATTAACTCTCCAACGTTCATTTTCACACTATATTTATGGTCTGACGCCTATGGAAGCGTTTCGCAAGGCACTCCTTACATTTTCACAGACACATTTTCCATTTGTTGTCGTTTAAGATTCAGTTACTCGGAACTAAAAGTTCCAAGTACCACGGGCTATAGTGAGCCCGTAGTGGACTTACCTGGCACAGGAGCGGGGCTGTAACACTCCGTAGCAGAGAGCGGGGGACTTTTCCATACTCTGCCAAGGCTTATATTCGCTTGGGGTGAAATGATACCGGACATGATTGAGATGAACAGGTGAATCAATGGCATAATGGGTATTAATAGGCCATTGCGTGTTATATGTTCTTGCTTCTACTGTTTCTGTGTTGGTTCAGGGTCTTGAAGTGGGTAGAAAGTAATTATGTGTTACTTGGCTGTTGATTGCTAGTTTGGACTTTTTGATGTGTAGGGCCTCGCTGATGTCGAGTCTCCTGGTGCCGTTGTATCTGTCGTTACAAATCTGTTTACATTTCAGGAAACGGTAACCAGCTACTGAGACAAAGGACATCCAGTTGATGTAATATACACGAACGTCAGTAAAGCTTTGGATAAGGTACCGCATGAAAGATTAACAAGGAAAGTACTGTACATGCAAATGGAATAAATGGTAGAATACTGGAATAGATAAAACAATGGTTAAAGCAAATAAATCAAAGGGTCGTGCTAAATGGGAATGACTCTGACTAGAGAAATGTGGTGAGTGGTGTACCACAGGGGTTCATTTTGGGGCCAACTATTTTTGTCATATACATCAATGACAAAGATGTTGCCAGCCACATCATCAAAATTGCAAATGACACTAAGAGATATAGTAAGTTGGGAAGTGAAAAATAACATTGAGGCCTTACAAAGAGATCTATATGAACTCCACAAATGGTCAGAAGACTCAAATATTTTTTATCATTAAAAATACAAGATTTTGCATGTGGGGCATAACAATCTACACCACAACTACCAAATCAATAACATTACATTACAGCAGACTGATGAAGAGAATGACCTTGGGGTCAAAATCCACCACTCACTGAAAGTTACACAACAGGTAGAAACAGCAGTAAAAAAAGTTAACCAAACACTTGGAATAATCAAGCGTACCTTTGACTTTAAGGAAAGAAGGCAGTAATTCAATTGTATCAATCTCTGGTGCGCTCCCCCCCCCCGTTTGGATCATTGTATCAAGCATGGAGACCTCATCTTCAGAAGGACATATCTGTCCTGGAGTAAGTGCAACACCGGGCAACAAAAATGATTCCAGAACTAAGTTATCTTTCGTACCGAACGGTCGAGTGCGACTGACTAACAGCACTACAAACCAGACATGACATGGCGGAGCTGATCGAAACTTTTAAAATACTGAACAATTTAGAGGATATTGATCCTGATATTTTTTCAAAAGGTCAGATGTAACACAAACAAGGAGCAACGGTTTCAAGCTCAACAAGCCACAATGTAGGACTGAGAACAGGAGATGCTTTTTCACCCACAGGGTTATAAACCCATAGAACCGCTTACTCGCTGAAGCCGTATATGCCAAAACTCTGTTGAACTTTAAAAATCCCGCTGGAATGAATCACGAGGACAAATGGGAGGACAAACCGCCGGCTTCCTGTTCTCGTCGAAGCCACTAGAGTGTTAGTGGCTCTCAGGTAAATTCAGGAAAATATCTGAAGGTGTATTCGGTTCGGCTATTTATTTGCAAATAAAATGTAGTAAGTCTCTCCCAAGTTTAGTGTGAGTTTGCTGGTCGACATCCATGAGTGGACTTTTTTTTATAACTCTTTTGTTTTCAATATTATCTAGAGTGTGTGGATTGGGGGATTGGGTTATTCATTCAGTGTTGGGTGCCTTGTTATCGTCAATAATAGCTTGCTTGGTCTCACCTTTCAACGGGTTCTGCTGAGTCGTTCACCTTGGTTTTACCTTAATATAGGCACGAAACTACTTACCTTAATATAGGCACGAAACTACTTACCTTAATATAGGCACGAAATTACTTACCTTAATATAGGCACGAAATTACTTACCTTAATATAGGCACGAAACAACACAATAGGGTGCACAATAAACTACCGCTCATGGTCGTGAGGATGAGTATGGGGTGCACAATAAACTACCGCTCATGTTCGTGAGGATGAGTATGGGGTGCACAATAAACTACCGCTCAAATTCGTGAGGATGAGTATGGGGTGCACAATAAACTACCGCTCATGGTCGTGAGGATGAGTATGGGGTGCACAATAAACTAGTCGCTGTGGGAGACAACGGTCAAATCACCATGATATAGTTATAGAAACAAGGCAGCTGAATAACTACTTAACAAAGACGATGCTGAACTAGAGAACCAATATTGTTCACGCCTCACTTCTTCAACGATGTATAATACTAATACTAATAATAATAATAATTATTATTATTGTTATTATTACAATTAAATAGAGCTAAGAGAGACGCAACCACCCACACACAAAGGGTAGAAAATACTAGCAATAGGATTTGTATGAGAACTATGACCTAGTTCTAATTAAGGTACCTAACTACTGTACATGTACTGTAGTGTACATGTAATGTACTGTAGTGTATATGTACTGTACCGTACTACTGTACATGACCAGCAGACAGCGTCAACCAAAAGAGATTCAAATGTAGATATGATAGAACCCAATAGTCTCAGGAATCTGTACACCGGTTGACTTTGATAGTTGAGGGGCGGGATCAAAAGAGTCCAAAGTTCAACCCCAGCAAGCACAACTAGGTGAGTACCAAACTGCGTGACATTGTAATTGCCAGAATTAGGCTGGAATATCGTTACTTATGATAGACACCTGCAGGTAATGAATCTCTCAACATTGAACACTTGTAGACTTTGTGAAAAAAACAGATATAGAAGATTGTTATACCGGAATCCATCCCAATACCAAACCTAAACCTGGTTTAGGCTCGTATTGTCTGTCAACACAGGTGGTGGCGGGAGGCCTCATCTCCATCCAATCCCAGGATCGTTGTCACCCCAAAATTAACAACTACTCTTTTCCAAATTGGTAGGCACGCAGGGCCTAGCCCCGCCGATGGTCCTAATAACGAGAACAGCGAGTGGTCGTGGGTAGGCAGGTGTATAGGAGTGCTGGCACCTCAGTAGAGGGCAAGAGCTGTACACATAGCAAGTGTCATCAAGAAGGGACTAGAGAGGACTGCAGGAGGAACATCAATCTTCACGCCAACTGCACCTTACATTAACAACACGGGTAAGTGTCTGCTCTGTAGGGTAGCCGGGTAAGTGTCTGCTCTGTAGGGTAGCCGGGTAAGTGTCTGCTCTGTAGGGTAGCCGGGTAAGTGTCTGCTCTGTAGGGTAGCCGGGTAAGTGTCTGCTCTGTAGGGTAGCCGGGTAAGTGTCTGCTCTGTAGGGTAGCCGGGTAAGTGTCTGCTCTGTAGGGCAGCCGGGTGTCTGCTCTGTAGGGCAGCCAGGTGTCTGCTCTGTAGGGTAGCCGGGTAAATGTTTGCTCTGTAGGATAGCCGGGTAAATGTTTGCTCTGTAGGATAGCCGGGTAAATGTCTGCTCTGTAGGGTAGCCGGGTAAATGTCTGCTCTATAGGGTAGCCGGGGTGCATCCATCTTATGATCATCATCGCCTCTAAATCGTCGACAAGAAGTGTGTGCCCACTATCATTAAAGGTTATGGTTCCCCATAACACCAGAAAATTGACAGTGTGGCTGTGTCTGTTTAAGAACTCTTGTATATCAGCATCTAAAACCAAAAAATACCTAAGTTCATCTTTATAGTTTCCTACCTAGTGCTTGAAACTCGCACTGTTGTGTACCCAATTCCCCAATATATGTAACTTATGCCATAAAGCTTTACCATTGTAATCATTACTGTTATCTTATATCATTTTATACACATAGTTTGCTACATTATATCTTGCAATAATCCTCAAATTATGCTAAAATGTACCTGTGGATAACCCCTTAAATTTACTCTTAACGTACCTACTTTTTTTCTTTGTCAAATTTCTTATACAATGTATTTTTTTATACTTTCTTACAATGTATTTTTATACTTTCTTACAATGTATTTATATATTTTCTTACAATGTACCTGTAAACGTTTTTTTAATTTTGCTAGAAATTACCTTCTTAAAATTATACAGTATGTTAGAATAAGGATCTGCCTGAAACGCTATGCGTGCTAGTGGCTTTACAAGAATGTAAAACTTCAAGTCTCTGAACTCTCATAAACCCAGTGTACCTTCTTATATATAAATAAATAAATAAATAAATAAATAAATATAAATAAAATAAAAAAACATAAAGGCTTATGAAGTAGGATTCATCCAAAATATATCATGGAACACCAACATTTAAATGCCGTCAGTGACAGTCACTTGTGGGACTGATGGTTCAACCTCAAAGCTGAGGGAACCTTTGGCTCTTGCTCTGCCTGACTCAAAGGAAATGTTATTAATTAATAATAATAATTAATTGTCTTGGGGGACAGGAAGCCAGAGTGTATTCATACATGTTAGGCTTATGTCTAGGCCCCAAACGGTCGAATTACTGATCTCGCCCAGGATGCAACCCCAAAACAAGCTGACTAACTCCTGAGAACCTTTTTACTGCTAGGTGAACAGACACATTAGGTGATAGGAAACGTGCCCAACTATTTCTGTCCCGCCCGGGATATGAACTCGGAATTCTCGATTGTCAGTTGAGAATGGACCCGACTATACTACAGGGAACCTTTATTGTTTTTGCTCTGCTTAGTACTGATATTTCTGTAAGGAGTCCTTCAACTACTCAGATTTATGTGATGTGTTTTCCATATATTCCCAGAGGTTATAGGGAAGTGTGTAGATTTTTATGTCACTGTAATTGGTTTGTCCTTTGAGCATGGTTCCAACATAGGTTTGGCTGACGGGTGCCAGAATTTACCCGAGGGCCACTATTTCTTTAGTGGCCTTGAAATGGACAAGAAGCCGGAGGCTTGTCAAATGTCCCTCCCCCCATTTGTCCTGATGATTTTATTGAGCGGGATATTAATATTCAACAGTATTTTGGCTTAATATTCAACAGTATTTTGGCTTTTTCAACAGTATTTGCAGCTTTGATGAGTAAGCGGTTCCATGGATTTTTTAACTCTGTGGACAAAAAAGCATCTCCTGTTATCTGTTCTACATTGTGGCTTGTTAAGCTTGAAACCCTTGCTCGTTGTTTGTGTTACACCTGGTCTTTTGAAGAAGTTGTCTAGATCAATATCATCCAAATTGTTCAGTATTTTAAAAGTTTCGATGAGATCAGCCCCCATTCATCTGGTTTGCAGTGTTGTCAGCCCTGTGACCCTTGCCCATTCCTGGTACAGTATGAGTGTCGACTCAGTTTTTAAAAAAAATCAGGAATGATTTTTGTTGCCCGGGTTACATACCTGCAGCAAACCTGGAGAGGGTTTCGGGAGTTCTTCTACTCTTCCATATTTATGGATTTTCAACAAACAATATATCAAAATCATATAAGCAAAATCAATAAATAAAAACCATATAGGCATCATTCTTGTGGTCAATCGGAAGAACACAGAGGGTAATCAGACACTCGGGACAAACACTGTGAATGCAGGATGTGTTCAGTATAGAGATTCAAATGCTCTGGAGAGAAATTCAGAAATATTGACGGAACAAAGGTAGATGTTTTCAAGAAACATTTAGATAAGTTCTTGGAAGAAGTGCCAGACCAACTGGGTTGTAGTGGATATATGGGCCTGCGGGCCACTTCAAGCAACAGCCTGTTGGACCATGTAATCATGAGACGAGCCTGGCCCCAGGCCGGTCTCATTGGGATAATGCATACAGGTTCATGAAATTTTTTATTTTTATTTTTATTTTATTTATATATACAAGAGTTCTTACATTCTTGTAAAACCACTAGCACACAGCGTTTCGGGCATGTCCTTAATCTTAATTTTCCCCGGAATACAACCCACCAAATCGTTTAACAACCAGGTACCCATTCGCTGCTGGGTGAACAGAGGTTACAATTAAGGATTGGTCAATCCCAGTCAATCCTTCCCAGCCAGGATATGAACCCAGGCCAAAGCGGTCGCGAAGCGTCATGCAAGTGTTTTATCACTGTGCCACGGGGATTGCAAATCTTAATATAAAGAACATTATGGAACACCAAAGCAGGCCTTTTATTATGAGCTTGAGCTTGAAGGACCAAAGGGTTTGGCAAGCTGGGGAATGAAGAACTTGAAGACAAGGATGAAATCTCAGGAAACAGGAAGAGGATGGTGTTGAGAGGGCCAAATAGTTCAGTGGCCTATCCACTTTGGCTTCAGTAGTCGTTGGTAGTTGATGTTGTTGTAGTTTCATTCTTTATACGACAATCTTCAATAGGCTGTCTAGCAGCTTGGGAGGCTTTATGGCAAGTTGAGACCAAGGAGGAAGGGTTCAGTCTTGTTGGTAGTGCTGTCTCGAAGGGTATATGGTGATAGATGCCAGGTACTCACTTAGTTGTACTCGCCTAGTTGTGCTTGCAGGGGTTGAGCTCTGGCTCTTTGGGCCTGGCTCTCAACTGTAAATCAACTGATATTTTTTTGTTCACACACACACCCAGGAAGCACCCTGCAGCAGCTGTCTTAACTTCCAGGTACCTATTTACTGCTAGGTGAACAGGAGTATCAGCATGAAAGAAACTGCCCATTTGTTTCTTCCTCTGCCGGGGATCGAACCCGGACCTTTAGGACTACGAATCCCAAGCGCTGTCTACTCAGCTGTCAGGCATTTCATGGTGGTGGTTGTTGGTTGAATTGATCATCTTTGTCATCTGGTTGTGTCTTCTTTCTTGATTCTTCAGTCTTCTTTCTTCATTCTTCAGTCTTCTTTCTTCATGAAACTATCTTATCAATCTTCGTTTTCTTTGTTGTTGTTGTTGTTGGCGTTCTTTGTATGCTTCTCGATGCTGTATTGCTTTTTCTAATGTCATACAAGAAATCGTATACAGTATACTGAACAAGATGCTCTCAAGGGATATTATTGTAAAGTAAAAAAGTGTTTAATACTGTATACAATTATGTATTGCAGAGCAGAAAATTTATATATGAATTTTATTTATTTTACTGTATACATGTATACCTTGATACACAGTATGATGAGTTTGGTTATGTCTTGTCAGGCAATTGTCAAATTGTGTAGCTTGGTTAACTACAATTTTGTTATAAAATGTACTGTATATAGTAATGTATAAAGATTAACAATTGCCAAAGAAGGGGAGCTTGATTGTCACAATATATTTAATAACCTTTATATTTCAGATTGAAGTTGGAAAGAGATCATCTTGTTTGGCATCAGTGAGGGATCATCAGCAAAAAAAGTAGTACAAGTCACAGGCAAAATGAGTGAAATAGCTCGACTTGAGCGTGAAAAGCGCCGTGCAGAGAACAAGAACAACCTCCGTGAAGTTGCTAACCTCTCAAACCTTCTCGGTCAGGAGTTGCAAAAAGCTGGAGATTACGAGGGAGCTTTAGCTCAACACCGAGAGGAAGGAGCACTGTGTGAATCTTTAGGAGATACTATAGGAGTTGCAGTTTCCCACCGTCGAATGGGAGAAGTTTACTGTGAAATGGGACAGTGGAAAAAAGCTCTTCAGCACCAACATCTACATTTATCACTGGCTAAGGAAGTGAAGAGTATAGTTGAGAAGCAACGTGCTTATGCTACAATTGGCCGCACTCATCTGCAGAGAGCTGAGGAATGTGGAGCACGTGGACAAGAGGAAGAGCAGGCTACAGCTCTGTCTGAAGCTGAGAAAGCATTTCTGCAATCTCTTTCAACATGTGAGCATCTCAGAGGAGCTGTTGATGCTCAGGAGCACAGTCAGATGCGTTGTCGACTGTATTTAAATTTAGGGTTAGTGTTAGATTATCGAGGAAATACCAATAAAGCTCGTGACTTCATCGGTCAGGCTTTAGATCTTTGTACCAGTCACAGCCTTTATGAAGATGCCCAGAGATGTCATTCTGCACTGGGAGTTATCCTCCTCCGAGAAGGTATCTTAACAGAAGCACTACAAGAAGGTAAAAAATCTTTGGTTTTGTCAACAAAGCTTCATGATAAAGTTCTACAGTGTGAAGGCCATTCATTTCTAGCACAGGTTCATCTTGCTAACACGGACTATGAAGCAGCAAAACGTTGTTTGTATAAAGCTTACAAGCTGAAACATCCACACTTGGAAGATAGACAGCGTATTGAAAAGAATCTGAAAACTGTAGTTGATCTCTGCTCAGCTGAAGATAATCTACTAACTTGTGGGGAAGCTGAGGGAGATGAAAAGATAAAGTTATATGAAAAATTAGGTGATGGATCGGCAAATCTTTGTCTCTATTCTCAGGCTCTGGAGTATTACCATAAAATGCTGAATCTAGCTCTGAAACTGGATAAAAATTCATCGTTCCTTGCTCCTGTGTATTTATCATTAGCACAAACTTATTCTGATAATAAACAATACAAGGAAGCCAAGTCTTACTACATGAAAGAATTTGACATAAAAGTTAGTGAAGATTACAGTGAGGCTTGTAAAACACTGATCAATGTAGCAGATACCTGTGAAGCATTAAAAGAAAAATATGAGACAGTTAGCCTAATATACCAACAAGCTAAGGAATTGGCAATGAAAGCTAAGAATCGTAAACTTGAAGCTTATGTTTTACATTTGCATTCTTCATTGGAGGGGATCCCTGAATCGGTGAAAAGGGAACTTGAAGAAGAGAAGAATAGGCTTATTGAAGAAAATGACCTTGATCCAGAGCTGGAGTTAAGTGAAGAAGAGAATGAAAGTGAAGATGAGATTGATCTGGACTTGATATACATTTCTGATAGTGACACCGAACAGGAGAATTTTGATAGACCTCGACAATTACGTCAGAAGAAATCATTTGCTGTCAAGAGAAATGAGAAAGGGGAGACTCCATTACACAAAGCTTGTATAGATGGTAACCTAAACATGGTAAAAAAACTTCTTCAGCAGGGTCACCCAGTGAACCCAAGAGATAATTGTGGCTGGCTTCCTATCCATGAAGCTGCAAATCATGGTTTCCATGATATTGTTCTGTCTTTGATAGAAGCTGGTGCCTGGATCAGTGATCGTGGGGGACAACAGTGTGATGGCATTACTCCTATCCATGATGCTGCATCCTGTGGAAATTTGGAAGTTGTAAGGTTATTGATGAACCGAGGAGCATCAGTTATATCCAAGACTGATGATGGTGATACGCCCCTTGAGAGCCTGGTCAAGTATCGTATGAGGACAAACCTATCACAGTGTGAAAAAGATGAATGTTTTATTTTAGAGAACGAGTTAAAGGAAAGAATGGAATTAGCTGGGCATAAAATACCAGAAATAACTCATGACAATTCCACTATAGATGAGAATGAAAAAAAAGAATCTCGTAGGTTGCAGAGAAACCAGAGTGATGGAGTGACATCTTCATATTCAAGGAGGAAAGCAAATGGTATTAAAAGTGAGTTGTACTCAAAAAACAGATCACCAGGAGATACAACTGAATCTTATTCACGGCGAAGTTCAGCCAAAGACGTTGTGAAATCTTCCTCAGATGAGAAAAGGCTAAGCTCTAGAGGTATTAGTGATCTTGAGGGGGATAGTGAAGATGATTTAACCAATGTATTATGTAATTTGGCAGAGGCAACAGGACCAATAGAATCTTTATCCGACAAGGATAATGTTGGCATTGATAAGGAGGATTTTTTTAACCCTTTGTTAGAAGATCTGCATGACGAACAGAAATCTGCTACTGGTACATATGCGAGTGCAATAAGCAGTGTGGGTAGTGCTGCACATAGAGCAGACTTCCAGAGAAGTTCCAGTGCACTGATGCTCAGGAAAGATAAAAAAGTTGCTCTTGTTGCAGAAGAGGAGGATGTTGGAGATAATTGGCTTGATGATGATTTAGGTATCTTCACTAAAAAAAGGAAAAGGATGGAAAAATTGGAGTTTGAATATAAGGAACCAAGGAATAGTAGAAATAGTTTGTCCAAAAATATTTCAAGGATACAAAATCATTCTCGTTCGAAAAAGATACGGCAGATGACGTTAACGTCACTTGTCGAAAGATATCCAAGTAATATTCCTGAGAGAACTGGTATTTCAGATAAACATGAGAATGAAACTGTGGTTGGGATACCTGAAAATCATGTAAATACAGCATCAGAGACAAATATTGCTGCAGATCTGCCATCCAGAAGTAACAGTGGGAGTCCTAATAACAATATTATTGGGACACAATCTGTGGGTGGCAGTGCACTTCGCTTAAGAGTTCGGGTGCAGAATCGAGTGTTACTGGTGCCTGTGGCAGGTGGTGGTTTGGGCCGCACTGTAGGATGGCTGGCAGAGGAGGTTACTCGCAGATACTACCAACTAGCAGGGTTGCGTCCCCATCTCACTCTAACTACACAAGATGGAGCTGTTCTTGATGCTAATGATCCAATAACTCTTGTCCTTCCCACAGAACAGATTGAACTGCAAGCACAAATTAAGGGATGGGATCTTCCACCATTATCAGACCGCTATACTCAGGCTTGCCAAGCTCTTGGATGTACACCTATATCATCTCTGAACTCGATTCTTCATCGTACAGAAGCTTCAACCACTCTAGATCTAAGTCGTGCTGGACGGTTGACAGTAGTACAGCTGCAACCTGTTCTAAGGGCTGTTCAGTGTCAGCAAAATTTGCACTGCCTCAACATTGCAAATTGCCGTCTTGGAGACGATGGTTTCCATCATTTAATGGAGGCTTTACCCTCATTGCCAGCCTTAGAAATTTTAGATCTTAGATCCACAGCTTTAACAACATCTAGTCTTTTTGAACTTACTGAAGCAATCACTGCAAATAAGATTTTAAAAACACTCAGTTCTCTTGACCTCAGTTACAACACCTTTCCTGGAGTTAAAGTGTCACATATAAAAACTCTATTTAATCTACCTTCACTTAGTGTTTTATCATTAAAGCATTGTTGTCTGTCACTGACTGGAGAGCAGCAGCTGCCTGTAGTCACTTCCTCTCTCAAATCTTTAGCTTTAGATTATAATACCATTTGCAGTGTTGCCTTAGCTTCTCTGTTATCCTGTTTGCCTCAGATCTCGGTTATAACTCTGAGTGGATTAAACTGCAAGAAAGACAAACCTTCAGAAGCAAGTACTCGTCTAGGCGTGGCTCTATCTGGGGTCTTGGGTGCTGGGGAGGAGTGTCGGGTACAACACCTTGATTTGAGTTCGTGCAACCTAGTAGATGCTGACCTGGAGGACATATCGGCTTATTTGTACCGGTGTCCTCTCTTAACCTCCATTAACTTGGCCCATAATCCACATCTTACGTCCTCATCTATCAGTGCCCTTCTCAATGAACTCACTACAAATATTATCCTTCCTCTCTCAACCCTGAATCTTCATGGAAACAAATCTCTCTCCTCTGATCTGACAGGCAAGCTAGCTTCTGCTCTACAACACAAAGCTGCCACAACGCATCCCATAACAAATCTTTCCTTATCAGTTGACGACACAGGTACTGTGATACAAGACCTCTGGAAATCTCAGTACCAACATAATGCATCCATTAGAAGAATTGGGGAGGAAATGTTTCTTTCATGTAGTGGTAAATAATTTTTTAATATTGTAAACTCACCAGGTATATAAGAACTTGAAAATGTGATCACAAGGCTGAAAAATACTGGAGTTTGACATTGTAGAAGAAAATTTGCACTATACTGCATTCTTTTTTAAATATCCATTTTATACAGATTATTAGTTTAATTTTGCATAATACATGCTAATAATGATATATATTTGTTTTTGTTATCCTGTCATAAGATAGAGCTAATATATTTTGAATACCTAATGTTTTATATGTTAGTGTTTATATGTCACCGAGTAACAATTGTTTTTTTCCAATGGTTAGTATCTTGTAGCATATTGTAATTGCACATTATCTTGTCTCCAGGTTTAACATCTATTTACTAATCAGTGTTTAAAACATAAGGACATACTTGAATTTACCCGAGGGCCACTAATACTAGTGGCCTCGACGAGGACAGGAAGTCGGCAGCTTGTCGAAGGTCTCGACATTTGCCCTGATGATCTTTTCCAGCTGTAGTTTAAAACCCAACAAAGTTTTGGCATTAACGGTTTCGGCGGGTATGCGGTTCTATGGGGTTAATAACCCTGTGGGTGAAAAAGCATCCCCTGTTCTCTTTAGATGTATAGCTATTGATAATATATGCTCTGCCTCTATCTGTTGTTGGCTCTGGAGATCAGTCTCCCTGTGGCACTGTTTGACCAGGTTGTAAGAGGTAGCTGCATGCAATCTGACACTAGTCACAGCCCAGTTGGTCAAATATCCTTTGTAGATGTTTTATCAACTTTTCTCTTGAACACTGTGAGAAGTAAATGGTAAATTATGAAGTTTTATAAAAAGTATAATTGAGAGCTTGGTGAGAGAAGTAAGTTTAAGAATGTGTTATATGAGAGCAGTAAGAGGAATGTTTGTGATCTCACGGTGTTGGTGTGAGTAAAGCAAGATAAAGTGGTCAAAATAACTGTAGACAGTCATCCCAGTTTATGTATGGCCAGACAGTACAACCTAAGCTGGTATGGGTAGAGAATCCAACTATCAAAATGAGTTGAGGAGTGTGTTGATAGCTGGTGTCATGGGTCAACATCCCTCTCCAATAAAAATGAATAGAAAGCAAGATATAATGAAATTAAAAGTACTTACAGAAATTGTCAAAACAAAAATGGTGTTCAACATAAAAATACATCTGTAAAAACACACAGGAAGGAGGGAAAGGGCTTTACAAGCTAAAAACTTAATCCTACAATAATAAAAAAATTGCAGAAGCTACCCCGGTTAGGACAACTAAAACTAGATGGTAAATTAAACATTACAATGATCATGCTCAATAAAAACCACAAGTAGTCCATGTTGGAATAAACTTTATTTCAAATTATACCATAACAAAATAAGGGTGTGAATATTCTCAAGATCTCTGGAGGCCAGGTGGGAATCAATAATCTAGTGGATGCTGCCCCTCTGGATTTCTACCCTGAGCTGAAACATGTTGAGAACACGTCTCGAGAGAACACGAGCTGAGAACAACCAAGGTAGATTTTCATTGTTATAACTGATATGAGTGGGGCTTCTATGGGGTACTGGTACTATTAAGGGGTATAGGTAGTTAGAAGACAGGAGTATCAAATATGGGAGAGCTAAAAGGCCCGGCCCCCAAAATAAACTATCCACAGTAGTAATAACTTGCTACAAGACCAAATATGTTAGTCTAAGGGTTGATCACTGCGCTCCCACCTTGGAAGAAGAGATACTCTGTAATTCATGTACTTATTTATTAACCCGTTAACAACCCCCCATATACACTCACACCAATAACAATAATAATAATAACTTTACCACACTATCTTACGTTAAAAGCCTTGGTCCACATAGGCAGGATACAAGGTTTACACTAATAACAAGCTAGGGTAAAGTACTACTGGATAAGCCCTGAAGCTGGATGCAGCTTAGGGTAGTGAGACCACGTGGGACCCTAATACAAAACACGAACACTTAGGGTAAACAAAACACTGGCAAATACTAACCCCAGGTCTCACCAATAGTTACTACCAGAGTAGGCACACTTACACCATATAATACTTAACTTAAGGGTACAGGAACTTCAGGTAAGGGAAATAAGTAAGAGGAGAAGGAAGGAGAGTAGGGATACAGCCACAGAGTAGGTCTTAACCTCACGCCACCAGCCAAGAGAAGACCGAGCTCCTCGCGACCACCTGGCCTCCCTCATGTCGTGGTGCCGGAAGGAGCCTAATTGATCGTGCAGCTAAGCACATTAAAGATCTTCCCCTATGCAACGTATTGTTACTTTATGAATGATTAGAAAGTATTAGTAAGCAAAGTTGGTGCCTATGTTATTATTTAATAATCAACCCCCAGCTCAGTCTTTAAATGCTCTTTGAGAAACAATAATAGTCTTACGTCTGGCAGGGAAGATACAAACAATTTCCATTCGAAATGCGCCAACTGTACTACTTAGGAAGTTTAATAGCTCAATTTTGACCTCTGGTTTCCACTGGAGAACCCAGGGTCGTAACACTCCTCCCCCCTTCAGAGAAAAAAAAAAAATGTGACCACTAGAATAGTAGTCATATTTTTTTTTTTGTAAGAGTATACAGAGAACAAAAAGAAAAACATGACAAAAACAAAAAATCAATCAAAAGCAATTTCTCTGCAAAAAAAATACAAAGGAGTTCTCTGAAAGCAAAAAAAAACATACACAACAAAAATAAAAGAACAGGGAAGTAAATAAATTGGACACGGAATATTTAATGTCACAGGAGAACCTAAAAAAAAATAACTAAAGCATGACAGTTGGTAAATGGCTTTCTGTGGCTCAGATGAATGTTATTCAGGCAACCGGGACAGAGCGTCGGCTATCACGTTGAGTCTGCCCGGTAGGTGGGTAATGGAAAGATTGAAGTCCTGTAGGTACAACGCCCACCTGAGGATGCGTTTATTCTTACCCTTCATCTGAGTCAGGAAGACTAGTGGGTTATGGTCCGTGTACACTTCCACTATATTACCTGTGAGGTAAACTTCGAACTTTTTACATGTCAACACTAGCGCCAACGCCTCTTTTTCTACCACTGAATAATTGCGTTGCGCCTTGTCGAATTTCACAGAGTAATAATATACTGGGTGTTCCACCTGATCATCCCCAGTTTGCAACAACACTGCACCAGCACCCGAGTCAGACGCGTCAACATGAATTTTAAACGGTCGGTCGAACCTTGGACTAGCAAGCACTGGGGCGGAAGCTAAGATCAATTTCAAATTTTTAAATGCCTCTGCACAGTCTGATGACCACTTAAATTTAACGGCTTTCCGCAACAAGTCTGTGAGAGGAGTGGCAACACTGGAAAAGTTCTGACAAAAACGTCGATAGTACGCACACATACCGATAAATCTTTGAATGTCCTTTTTAGACTTTAGTACTGGATACTCCAGAATGGCATTGATTTTATCTTGCCGAGGTAACACTTTTCCTTGGCCCACTTCATAACCGAGGTACGTCACTGTGCCTTGGCCAAAATGACACTTTTTAGCATTTAAGGTAAGATTTGCCCTTTTCAAGATGGCAAACAACTGGCGTAACCTAGCTATGTGGTCAGCCCAATTACTGTCAAACAGCACGATATCATCTAAATACGCCCGACAATTTGGCACCTTAGCGAGTAGAGAGTTCATGAGTCTCTGGAACGTGGCAGGGGCATTACGCAAGCCGAACGGTAACACTTGATACTCAAAAACACCCTCGGGTGTCACGAACGCAGTGAGCTGTTTAGCACGTTCAGTGAGTGGGATTTGATAATACCCCCTCGAGAGGTCGAATTTCGAAACGTACTTGGCATTTCCCAACTCGTCGATGCAGTCCTCGAGGAGGGGCAGCGGATAGGCATCCACAATGGTCACCTTGTTGAGCTGCCGATAGTCGGTGCATAATCGCCAGGAGCCGTCTGGTTTGGGGACCAAAAGGCAGGGCGAGCACCAAGAGCCCTGGCTCGGCCGGATGAGGCCGTGCTGGAGCAAGAAGTCGACCTCCTTCCGTACGATGGCCTTCTTTTCTGGACTCATCCGATAGGGTTGAAGGCGAATGGGAGTGTAGTCCGTCAATTCGACATCATGGCAAATGGCATCAGTCTGGGTCGGGACATCCCCGAACAGACTGGAGAATTCAGCAACCAACGACTGCACCTCTTCACGTTGGGCCATCTGCAAATGGGACAGTTCCTCCACAGCATTCACAGAACTAGAATTATTGAAAATGAGATTAGTTGGGTCCCCAGAACAATCATCCCCCCTCTCACTGGAAATGGAAACATTGGTTAGTGCAATGGGCCTGGGGCCCTGGAACTTCTTCAGTCGATTTACATGTATGAGCATTACCTGGTTACGTTTGTCAGAATGCCTCACTTTGTACGTGAGGTCCCCAGTCTTTTCTGTCACAATGTAGGGGCCTTCGTACTTGTGGGACATAGTGTTCCCTAGTCGAGGCTTTAATACCAGGACAGGGTCGCCAGGCTGAAATACCCGTAACTTAGATTTAGCATCGTTACGTTCTTTCATCTTTTCTTGGGCCTTGCCAAGATACTTTAATGCAGCCGCCTTGCAGTCCTTGAGTCTCTGGTGGTGTTGCGCAAAGAAAGCCGAACCTTCGGTTAACGTTACGTTCCCTAACAGATTCTCCTGTAACGTTTGCAAGGGTCCACGAACTTTATGGCCAAAGACTAACTCAAAAGGAGAACAGCCCAGTGAACTTTGTAATCCCTCTCTAGCCGCAAACAAAACATACGGTAAATTCTCATCCCAGAAGGTGTGGGAACTCTCGCACGATGTCTTCAACATCTGCTTCAGAGTTAGATGGAAACGTTCAATTACCCCCTGACTCTGTGGATGGTATGGGCTGGAAACCTTATGAGTTATTCCATGTTCCTTACAAAATTGCTCGAAAACATCAGACTTAAAATTAGTACCATTGTCAGTTTGCACGACCCGAGGCAGTCCAAAAGTGGAAAAAAATTGCAACATACGAGCAACAACAGTTTTTGCTCGGATGTTCCTTACAGCAAAAGCCTCTGGGTAACGAGTAGTGATACACATCATCGTGATTAGGTAAATATTACCAGACTTAGTTCTAGGTAATGGTCCAACACAGTCCATTACCACATGAGAAAATGGTTCCTCTGGCACGACAATAGGCCTTAGAGGAGCTT